TGGTGGTCGAGGTGTGGAAAAGGGGGTCGTACCAAATCCACCTTGGGGGAGGGGGGTCGTAAAAATTTTTCGAAAAGTAACAACGATAGGGTTGACCCTGCTCGAGACCAAGCTTCAGGAAAGGAGAAAGGATTCTGGAAGAGGACGTAGCAACCACTGTCCCTGGCGTTTATTCCCAATCCTAGGCTTAGAATCAGACAAATTTCATAGACGTGCCGTCAAAACCCGAATGAATTTTGTGTGCTACGTGATTACGACCAGCGCAACTTCGGTACCATTTTCATGACGGCAGTGTTTGCCATTGGACCGAGGTCAAGATGCCGTCGTCGGATGGGTGCGACCTGCGTCGGACATCTTGTCATAAACATGTCGTCAGCACCACGATTACTGGCGTCGGCCACCCGATGGTCACTGAAGAAAAAGGTTTTTTTCAAGAACATTTCTTTTGAAAAGGTTTACTTTGTCCTAGAAAATCAAATCGTTTTTTATGCGGCTAGTACGTGAATTTCTTGGGGGTATCTTATTATTGTTAGTGGTGTCGTATTAGTGTTTGTAGTGGTTCCTGAATGCTCATTAATTAGTTCCAGATTTTTGTATACGGCGGAACAACGGTACTCCTCGGTAGTGGAGCGGCCATCTATCGTGCTGTGGATTCGATTGAGGATGTGAAACAAGTAGGGCTCATCAGGTTCGGGAGGGCAGCAATTACAGTGAGTTTTCTTTACATTAAACGGCACAGTCAAGGATTTGCCACGAAAAACCTTTTGTCGCACCATGAGCTCGATGGTGTGTTAGCCGTCATAAATTTATTTGGGTGATCTATAGTTCTCTCTGATTTTGCGAGTTTAGGTGGCAAATATTGTGGTGGATTACAAATCGTCGCTAAGGGGCCTCTATGACCCATCTGAGGAATACAATCTAGCTATCAAGCAGTGCCACAAGCGAAGTGCTTTGCGATTACTGGACTTGGCATGTGCAAATGGTGGTGTATTCATCAAGGTATCCTTTCACTTAATGATTAACCATTATTAGCATACATTAATGAACTTGTTTTTTTGTTTCGTTTTTCCTTCTTGTACGCCTTCTTCCACTTTCAGCGCCTCATCATTAAACACTGACCCTGGTCTTTGTTGTTTAGGTAGGACAACATTTGTCAGCGTTGGAATACCTAATACCCGAAGAGTACACTTCTACACTTTCCATCTTGACATCTAAAGCTCCAGAGGCAACGTATGAGGACGTAATCTATGTTGTTGAATCGCAGTTGGGTAAAAAGGTGATATTTTTGTGTTAATCTTTCTGAGTGACACTTAAACCCCTGAATTTTTTCGTGAATTTTTCTTCGTGCTACTGTTTATTACTTGTGAGCGCATAGGTATCATTATAGCAACATTTGGAAGCTATCTAATCGCAATTTGAAAAATTAGGAAATTTGAAAATTAGCACAGCTTCTTGGTTTTTAGCTTTCGGAACTCTTTTAAATTTCATAGTTTACTTACGCTTCGAAAAATTTCATGATCTTGTACAACATTATATCTAACGTTTTTGATAAGAGATTGAATATATGCCAAGTGTTTTAAGAATGATTGACTTTAACCTAGCGGCTTGCTGACCCCAGCACCGGTTCATTGTTGCACTTCTACAGAAGTTTGTAATGCAAATAAACAACACAACGGTTCGGGTTCAAAAGCATATTGGGTAGCGGAAGGTGACTGAAACGTAGCGTAAAAGCAGTGGGTAAGTAGAAATGGGCTTTACACCTATAATGTCTAGACCATGAAATTTGATAGTTGCGTAATTGCCACCGCCTAGGGCGAAGGGTTATAACTGCCTTTCCCCTAGCTTTGCGTTCCCCTTCATATCTTCCACTCCTCAGTAAACTGATTCACATCAAGGAAGGAAGGAGGGGATTGTGAGCGGAACCTTTGCGAGAACAAAAGGGTATGCTGTTATCCTATAATTTAAGCTTGAACAATCCTGACCAATCTAATAATAAGTTTCTGCGTTTTCCTTCCACCAAGTGTAGCCGCCCTACCATCTTATTAATGCTCTCTAACTGCTGATGAGCCCTATACTAGTGACGCCTTGACTTTCATTATAAGTAAACGTTTCTTAGGTAGATGAGGTCTTCTCCGAATTTGCGGAAAAGCCGTTCGGAGCTGCTAGTCTTGCGCAAGTGCATATAGCGAGATTGAAGGTCAGTTCTTATCAGTGTTTCCGCTTGTTTGGCTTTTTATATCCTCGGACATTCTAGGAAACGAATGAAAAGGTCGCAGTAAAAGTGCAACATCGGAGAGTGTTCAAAAACAGCCGTACGGACATAAATACCATGGATGTAAGTTGAGAGTATGGAGCTATTGAGTCTTTTTTATTTGCAGCATATTTTATGTGCAATCTTTTAATCCAATGATTATAACTGGTCGTGGTTTTACCTCGATCTCTCTGCGCGATTAGCCGATGTCAGACTTCGCGATTGGAGCGATTTTGCACCAATTGCAGGAGCGACGGGAGATTTACCCGAGCGGCGCCGTGTGTATCGGTGGTCGGCGGGGTAAATCTCCCGTCGCTCGCATCGCTCAAGCGATCCGTCGCTCCTGCAATTGGTGCAAAATCGCTCCAATCGCAAAGTCTGACATCGGCCATTAATTTGAAGATCCAGGTGCGTTAATCTCTCTAGACTCATTGACTTCTGAAACTATTGTTATCCGGTGTTGCATTATCCTTCTTCCTTTCCCTGTTTACCCCTGGCAGTTGCTGGTGGGGTTCCTTCTTGGAGCATACATTTATTTCAAATGAACTAACCACATCTGATACGTTTTGCTTTCACATTTTTGCCCACTCTTCCTCATTCCATCTCTTTTATCAGCTTCTTCTTCATATATGGCTTCAGGCTGAATGGGCTAATATAGAAGTGTCCGTTTTTTCCTTTTTATGATTGCTGTTTTCGTGTTCTCCAATTTAAATCTTCTCTTGTAGTTCTTGGTGAAAGTTGCGGATAAAGTGTTTCCGGAATTCAAGCTTATGTGGTTAGTTGATGAGGTCAAAAAGAACCTACCGCATGAACTTGACTTCATAATGGAAGCAAAGAATGGTGATCGATTAGCGGAAATGTTCAAACACCTCAAATTCTTAAAGGTGAGCCTTGTCTCTGCAATGGCGTTATTTTTTGTCCTTTACTTTTCTTTCCCTTTATGATATACTGTTTCGTTGGTGATTGCTTCTAAGAGTTTGCCATTTCGATCATTATGAGTTACCATTGCAGGTACCAAAAATGTTTTATGAGTACAGTACACCTCGGCTCCTTGTTATGGAATTTTGTGAAGGAGAACATATAGACAACATCGATTACATGATCAGAAACAAGATCAATCGTCCTGATGTGAGCTTCCTCGCTTCTTTTTCTTTAATTACTAACGATTTGGCTTTTTCCGAAAAGCGTTTTTATTTTGTCCATATGTATCTTTTTAGTTGCACGCTTCATTGCTAAAATCATTTGGAGTGAGATTCTTATGCTATCATTCAAAGCATCTTACAGTAATGTTTTGTTCTTGAAAAAAAGCCCTAGCATTTGAAAAGCTTCTGATCTTTGTAATGATCCTCCAAAAGCAGAATCAGTTGTTCACATTGCAAAACTTATTGCAGCTGCAGACGTTCCCAGTTATTATCTGAAAAAGCGGATTCAGTTGTTTACATTGCGAACGTTATTGCAGCTGCAAAGAACCGGAAGATCTTGTGATTGTTTGTGACATTTGTTGAAGTAATGGTCACTAATCATGACTTCAACAAATGCCTTTTCCGGCCCAACAAAGACTTTTCAGTGGTACTTCGATTGTGACAAAAAAAACCAGATTATTATCGGCTGAAAAACCAGCCTACATTAGCTTTTCAATAGAATGTGAATAAGGAATTTCGATTGAAACCGCGGAGGCTTTACTGGACTCTTGACTTCTATCAAAAATGTCGAAAAAAAATTCAAGTTGTTTATTAAGCCGCATTTGCTGCGCAAGGGCTTTTTTTTCAAAACTTCTTCAGAAAAATGCTTGCATTATTTTCTTTCGAAGCGCTTCCTAGAGGGAATTTAAGATGCCTCTGGGGCAATATTTGCATAGAGTTCAAGCTTCTATTATACATGTTAGGTTGAGCGGATATTGTTTATATTGTCTAAAATCGCTGACCCTGTGCGACGGGCAGCTGTTTTACATTCTGGAGAGGCGAAAGAAACTTAAGGCGATTAACAAGATGTCATTCTTTAAGGCTCAATCAGAATCAATTAGAGAAATAGGAATATTTTTACACTCATTGCCTTAGTCTTCACTGAAGTCTACGAGCATCACTCGAAGAGTATTGCACAAGAGAAGGGCGGAAAAGTTTGACTGTAGATTCGGATAATCTTCAATGTGTTGCTTTATCTTTACACTGGCCTTGTACATCGTCTGTTCCAGGCAAATTGGTGTACAGGACCAAATGTCATTTCAAAGGGTCAATTGCTCCTAGAATGCTAACCGCTTGGCACGGGCAATATTTATGCTCAAACATTCAAATTCGTAAAATAATTTCTTTCAAGTTTCTGCCACACGCAGAGAAAGTTTTATTTTAGTAATCTTTCTGAGTGGTTATATGTATTATTAATGAAGCCCATGTTCTGGGCATGACAGCTTCTCTATCCATGTGGTTTAAGGTTTGTCGGAAAATGGGTCGGCTGTATTCTGAGATGATCTTCATTAACGGCTATCTCCATTCCGATCCTCATCCGGGTAACGTACTCGTAAACAAGAAACCTAATGGCGATGTTGACATCGTGTTGCTCGATCATGGTCTTTATTTAGTGAGTAACTTAGTTCTTCTCGTGCACATTTCTTCTGTAAGTTCTCACTATTTCAGGACATCGATGACCATTTTAGGGGACTCTACGCTGATTTGTGGCTCGCACTTTTAGCTCCAGATCCAGATAAGCTTAGAGTAAGATTTCATTCGATACTACCTACGGTACTTCTAGTAATCGGTCGTTCGCACTTTTTTCACATTTTTCTATGGTTTGCTGCAGGAGTGTGTTCTTGTAGTGTTAGGCTGAGGTGTTTTTGATCCTTATTAGCTTCAATCGTTTTCAGAGTGTCGCGACTGAGATGGGTGTTGGTGAGCTCTATGGCTTGTTTGCATGCATTGTTGCTCGGCGATCGTGGAAGGCTGTATCACAAGGCATTAAAAACCGAAAAATGGATAATAATGAGGTAAAGCAAGGTTTCAGCGTATTATTTGCTGTACCAAATTTTACTATTTTTAATTTGAGATAAATGCTAAATAAAATAACCAAGTGCGCTATAATATTGCTAGATATTCAGAAGGACGAACTTCGCCTTTACGCAGCGTCACTCATTCCTCAGATCAGCGAGGTTTTACACAGAATGCCGCGCGAAATGCTCCTCATTCTGAAGACAAACGACTTACTTAGGAATCTTGAGCACGTGCTCGGAATAGAAAATCGCGCTGACGCACACATCGAGGTAAGCATTCGATCCATTCATCAGTCATCAAGTCATTTGTAGGTGTGTGAATCAGTAGTGAAATCATTTTTTTTTCACGTTGTTTCAAACCAAGCTGTTCGCCTGAGGTTTTGTTTCGTTTGCCTGTGCTTCCGGGGTCCATCCCAATACCTTAGGGCGGCTCCTCATATCATGTTTTCTCATATTTTAAGGCTGCCGTGCTCTTTTCAGTAATAATACCGTGCGCTTTCTTGCCCCTATAAAATATTAGGTCGGTCCATAAGTCTTGCAACAAACTACATTTAATGCTATAGAATTTTAGGGAGAACTCCTGAAAATCCGCAACATATTTCCTGACGTAGCATCAACCTTTGCAATTTCAGCCAACGGTCCAGCTCGTTGTCTGCTTACTTATTATGGATATTACACCGATTTCGCGAGAGGGCTCTCGTGCCCTTAATTTTTACGAGTACTGCTTGGAATGTTCCGCAAGTCATGCTAGACCAAGGATTGGCCAGAAGATAGGGAGGGCAAGCTCTCTCAAACCACAGTGCAACGGCGCTTCACTCTGCTCAGCGTTGACTTTTTTATTTGAAAATAACCCACACTCCAACCACCCTGTGACTGACAATCACGATGCTCTATCTGACGCGTTGAAAAGGGATCTGGATAGAGTATCGATCATTTGCTAGAGCGATTCCGATGCGACAAGGAGACAGCACTGTGGCATCTCCAAAGACTTGTGAAGATCCGAAAATGTAGAGTTTGGTCCCCACGTGCCTTGAGCCCGATTCAGCTCCAAACACGATCTGACACCGTTATGTTCAAGTCGACTTACTAGGGATTCTACGATTGACCATCCATCACATTTGCCGAAGATGAGGAGTGGGTACAGTTTACTAACAAATGAACAAGCGGCGGTAGTCCAGCTCAAACGCTTCGGGAGATCTTATTGCTTAAGTTCAACCTCGTCCAAGTAGGGCCTTCTCGGATTTTTGGTGGAACACGGGAGGAGTTAAGCTCTGGAAACCCCTCCGTGTAGATGTCGCAGTCAACGCGAAAGTCAACTATCCACAGCTCGAATGCAACGCTTTTAATACGAAAGAAAAACAAGGCAAAGTTTGCTTTTGTATGACACCGTTGAACCACCTCTTGCTAAGAAAATTCAGGAAAATTTTGAGACTCTAGGACGGGGAGTTCTTCTGTATCCACGTTATAGCCCTGACCTCGTGCAAATAATGCCCTTCTGCTCCCCTCTCCAAACCATCTCCTAGAGAAGAAAGCTCATCCTAACTATGATGATGTCAAAATCGACATCTGATCTTTCTTCGATCAGAATTCAGTAGAGTCCTACAAGGGAGGCATCGAGCAGCTACTAGTGTGTTGGCAATAGGTTGTAGATATTGATGGAGGGTAGCATGCCGGATGAATGGAACAAAAAGATAATGAAAATATTAAATTCAAAATTCGGCCAGTTTGTTGCAAGACTTATGGACCGACCTAATAGTTAGTTTAAGATTTTATGGTCCACAGCTACTTAAGATTTAGTTTTGATTAGAGCATCGATTGCAGAATTGCACAACAATTGCACAAATGTCAAGTTGTTCAGTTAAGTTGGTCGTAAGACTCAATCTTTTCACCCTTTCAACCTAATGTCACAAACTCGGAGGAACGGGAGGCTCACATGACCTGGGTGGAACTCGGTCGAGGTTTAATAAAGGTGATAGGTGCCGCCACTTGTCTCTGCACCATTTAGGCTTTTCCCACAATTCCATTGTTCTATGTTACAAATAAAACCATGTTAAACAAATCGTTCCATTTCTTATAGATGTCGAAATGTGTAGTGCGGAGTCACTATGAGCTGAAACTCAAAGATCCCAACAGAAGCCTTTGGGAGACGATCCAGATACGTCTGAGTTTGTTCTGGGCCCTGTTTAAGATTAGGTCATATGAATCGCGTACCGGTCATCACAATGGACACATTTCCATTTAGGTATTTGGCTTTGTAACTTACATCATCACGTTGTAATCGTTAGCGTCGTACATATTATTGCTCCGCTTATGAATGGCCCATAGCTGCACTGTCTTAGTCGCCGCCTTTCTTTGGCACGGCTCTTATTAAAGTGCGGTAAGCTCGGCGTAGGATCTACTGCATAGTTTTCTTCGAAATAGGTGTATCGGTGACAGTTGACTGCCTAGAAGGGTGTTTACCTACCCGTTCAGGTAATCCTTTGTCTGGTTGTGTTCCTCACGTTTCTTTTCAGGGTTATCTCAGTAGTTTGCATTGCCTCAAACCTCATCTAGTGTAGTATTGTATTTTGCTGTTGAATGGGACGGAAAGCAATTGGAGATTTATTGTTTTAAAAATCCTAGTGAGCTGTGATATTGTATGGTTTCATTTTAATCGCGATCAAGCAAGCAATTTGCTGTCTTTAAACCTCTCTTCAGTCAGATTTCTAACTATCGATGATAGAACTGTGAATGTCCGTTTTATCAGAGTGCAGTCATTTCGAACTGTTTAATTTGCCTTAATTTTCCTCATACATATGCCTTAAACCCGTGCACCTCATTTTTTCATTTTGTTACGTATTATTATTCTTGATTATATGATTTTATATGAAATTGTGATATTCGACCAGATGCGTGATGTTGAATTCACGGTTCAGGATTAGCAATGGTAAGATTAGGTGAAAATAGGATCGTACTAATAGGTCATGAGATAACATTTAACTGTTGTACATCATGTTGATTTCATGCTGAGATTCAAATAAATAGTTCTGTATGATGTTTACTATTCGGTAGTAGTCTAACGCTCATTCGTTCTACATTCCTAATTCAAACATAATTGCTCAGTCGCATCAGTATTAGTTAGCATATGCCTGTTCGCTGGATCACTGGTTGCGTTGCAGGTATGTAAAATTTGATACAAAGCCCCACCAGCTGTGCCAAAGATATTCCAAAGGGAAATTGCCATGGCTAGGGGATACCTGCAGTTCGCGTGGTTTGTAGTAGGAAGCATTAAGTCTTTCCCATAGCTCCTCGATTACTGAACAGTGGACGAAAAATGAGAAATAATGGGTGCCCTTCGGTTTCTTTTAGGAATTGTCTGGTACTCTACCTTTTTTCAGCATAATGGTCAACTATTCTAAGAAGAAATAGGATAAACAATAACCCGCAGTCCATCCTCGGGCTTCCACGCACGGTAGCATATCATACGTCTAGCGGTTCGGCTCGATCCTTCATTATTTACGACGTAGGAGGTGGACTACGGCAGAATGTCGGAGAAGGATCAGCGATGACGATTAACGGATGGTGCGCTTCAGTAGCTTCCATTCACACGAAGGCAGAATCTGCATGAACCGTGCCACTGTGCTTACCTTGCCCAGGGGGAGAGGCGCCTTCAGGTTTTCTTAGTCTTTTTTTTACCACAAACATCTTTAGACAGACCTATTTGTGAAGTATTTGTGTATGTAGAAGCCAAAGCAGGCTAAAATTAGGAAAACTACACAAAACACACATTTGAAAGGATTTTCAAGCCTAACCTTCACCATCAGCCCATCCCTCGAGTATGGATGGCATACCCCATAATTTTTTTGAAGGAGGACGTTCGCCCAAGAACGACATGCTTTATCTGGTGCTATATGATCGATATGATGGTTGATGGTGGTCCCAAAAACATCTCCACGTTTTGTGACTTCTATCTATCGGAAGTGGTGTAGTGGCAAGTGGCACGCTTACCACGCGAGCGGTCCGGGGATCAAATCCTGGGTCGTGAGTCGCCCGGGCCAACCAAGCCTTCCATCCCTCCGGGGTCGGTTAATTGGTACCAGAAGGATAAAAACACTGACTTGTACATCGGCTGGTCATTGTATAGGCCACATTCAAACGAATGCGATGTGGCCTATACAATGACTTGCGGGGTCCACTACGAATGTAGAAATGGAAGTAGAATTCGTGTCGCATCCCAAAAGGGATTGATCAACGGCAGATGCTTTATCCTTTATCCTTTATCTATCAGAAGGCTCAAAACACAAGTTTGAAACTTGGGTGTTTGAGTTAGTCACATATTCTTATGTTTTCGGATGGAAATCGCTTTTTACCTCTATGTTAGTATCAGTTGAGCTCCTGACATTGTTTGCATACCCGGGATCCAGAATATTGAACAGGGGAATTAAATTTTATTCCTGGCTCCGCTCACCAGAAAGAGACCCTACTTCGATTCTCCATTCAATTTCTCACGGGCAGTTTTTAAACTGCCCAACGAACTTCGGATTTAACTCTGCCAACTGCGGTGCATGTTCCACCTACCAATGGCGAGCGAGTGAGTTCTCCTACCTCAGCCTAGATTTTTCCTGGTCTCCGGGCACTCTTGCAACCATTTATAGTGTTGTATAGCCAACTCTAGCCACGCGGGACGCGCCGCACCCAACAATTGCAAGAACCATTCCTCCCTTTTCAACCTTTATCTACTTCTTTTTGGTTTCTGGGCAGTCTCAGAACAGATTTGTTATGTTTCTCGGCAAACTGCTCACTCAAGGGCAATCCGCCCCTTCGTGGGCTGGCCTCCGCTTATTGTGTTGCAACCTTAGTTTGACGCTTTTGATGGCTTCTTTAACCGAAGGGTAAATATGCAGAGTGTCATTACAGTGGAGTGAACGAATCTGCACGAAT